ATGCCGATGATATTGATATCATTGGCCTCAACACCCGCGCCGTTAGTTCTGCTTTCTCCAGACTGGACAAGGAAGCAACACAAATGGGTCTGGCAATGAACGAGGGCAAGACAAAATATCTAATGTCATCAAACAAACAGTCGTCGCACTCGGGACTTATCACTCACGTCACTGTTGACAGTCATAGCTTTGAAGTTGTAGATAATTTCATCTATCTGCGTAAACACCACCAACAATGTCAGCCTAGAAATCCAATGCAGGATAACTCTTGCCAACAGGTGCTACTTCGGACTGAGTAGGCAATTGAGAAGCAAAGTCCTCTCCCGACAAACAAAAACCAAACTCTATAAGTCTCATAATTCCTGTCCTGCTATATGGTGCAGAGGCTTGGACGATGTCAACAACAGATGAGTCGACGTTGCGGGTTTTCGAGAGAAAAGTTCTGCGAAAGATTTATGGTCCTTTGCGCATTGGCCACGACGAAATCGCGTTCGATGGAACGATGAGCTGTACGAGATATACGACGACATTGACATAGTTCAGCGAATTAAAAGACAGCGGCTATGCTGGCTAGGTCATGTTGTCCGGATGGACGAAAACACTCCAGCTCTGAAAGTATTCGACACAGTACCCGCCGGGGGAAGCAGAGGAAGAGGAAGACCTCCACTCCGTTGGAAGGACTAAGTGGAGAAGGACCTGGCTTCACTTGGAATATCTAATTGGCGCCACGTAGCGAAAAGAAGAAACGACTGGCGCGCTGTTGTTAACTCGGCTATAATCGAGTAAGCGGTGTCTACGCCAATCAAGAAGAAGAAGAAGCGTATCTACGGCAAGTCGAGCAGTTGGCTCTGGCCGCTTTATACAAGGACATCATTAAACTTCCCACTGATCCTACTCAGACGGGTTTTTCCAAATCGCTAAATTCCCCAAAGCCATTTGAGCTATTGATTGTACTCACATCCGAATACAATCTCCCGGTGGTAGCAATGCAGAGATTTTTCGAAATAGAAAGGGATACTTCTCGCTAAACGAAGCAATCAATATGCAACGCAAATTTGATGTTGTTGGATTTGGTCGTAAGGTTGCCTGGTTCTGCGCACGATTACAATATTTTTCGCAATAGCCGTCTGAAGTTTTGTATGGAGGAAGGCCATTTCAGTAATTATTTCATCCTTGGTGACAGTGGCTACAAGCAAACTAATTACATGATGACTCCATTAATAAGTCCATCAAATGCACCGGAAAGACTTTATAACGAGTCGCAAATTCACACGCGCAATGCAATTGAGAGATGCTTTGGCGTATGCAAAAGACGTTTTCCTGTATTGTCGATGGGACTGCGAACATCAATGAACACCGTAGCGGCTATTATAGTGGCATGTGGTGTCCCTCACAATATCGCAATACTATCAAAAAACCCACTTCCTCCGACGGATAAACTGATTATACCGGAAATTCCAGAAGATGCTGACGAAAATAATTCCATCGAGATAAATTCTAACTCTGTTGCAAGAAACCGACTAATACAAGACTATTTTGCTCGGTGAGTGAATATTTTGAAATAGTCACGCATTCCTCTAATATAATACGTTTTTGGATGTACATGTGTTTATGGTTGCGTTTCAGATTATAAAAGAATCATACAAAAGGAAASATATACCAGCTAAATGGAGTCCTAACCGTATATGTACATACATAGAAGTATATTTCCAATTTCCATTTTTAAATAAAAAGTCATGCAATTTAAAGTTTAATTAAATGCACATATTTATTAAAAACCACAAAAAAAAATTCATTACGAACTTAAAAATATAGTGAAGAAAGTTTCAACACAAAAATCCACTTCTCAAACAATGACGAAACTAATTTTACTTACACGTTATATGGAAAAAAGTGCAACACCTTTAACAGGAAAAATTATTAAAAATAAACAAGAGTACCGCAACTGCTTAAGGTGCATTCTTATTTGAATCTAATTTGGTTTTTTTTAAGATTTCTAATTGCATTAGCTCATTTTTCAATTTAAGCGCAATTAATTCTTGCTCATGTTTTTCCTGAGCCCGGGTATTTTCATCTGCATAAAACTGTCAACTTAATTTTTTCTTCCTCCAAATTTCTCTTGCGGGTGCCAGGACGGTCAATCAAAAGTTTGGACGATTTTTTACTTCTCAGTCAGTATATACAGTCATTTTTTTGCAAAAATCAATCACAATGTGTTTTATCTAAACATTAATCATTCTACAAGAAACAATATAAATTAAAACTTCAAACTTTGTACAAAATTTAAAAATGTAATTTATATCACTTACATATATATGTAAGAGAATGAACTATATGAAATGTTAGCGAATAATATATATATAAAAAATACATATATACTTGCCTGGTTGAGCTCGTCGGCATCAGTTATATCCTCAGTGTGGAGAATGAATTTTTCCCTTTCCGGGAAAGGAAAGGAAGGAAAGGAATTTCCCTCTTTTTTAACTATAATGAAAGAGTTTTGCAAGTGCCGCTGTATCACAGGTGTGTTCCACTAGTGCCCATGTATCATCAGTGCCGTCGAAGATCTTCGGCTTTCAAAACAATTACTGGACACGATCCAACTCCGAATATTTGGAAAGGACCCTTGTTAGACAGGAACAACTGTGGAAACTCCCAAACTGTTGATACTTTCAGAACTGGCACTGGTGGTACATGGGCACTAGCGAAACTGAAACTCGTAATGCAGCGACACTTTCTAAACTGTTTACACTGGCGATAAAGTGGCACTGGCAAAATTGTTGGCACTAGCTACGTGCCAAAAGACACTCAATTTAGAAAATATGAAACAACGAAATTACTTATTTGCATCACCATCAAAGGTATTTTCCAATCCAGTGGCCGACTCCCCCAAAATAGCAGCAACTTTTTGCGTTGCCATGCTGCTACTTTCTACAGCAGCCGAACCGCCACCTGTCCGATAATGCTCTGATTTCTCGGTTGCCATTTCTGCCTTGGACTTTCGTTTCAAGCTTTCGAACTTATCCCGTAGAGTCCTCCACTCTCGACTAGTCCCAATCCTAGCTGTGAAACACTCCGCCAACTTTTTCCAGGCCTCCTCCTTCTGTTTCCATGTGACAGCATCGGATCTTTTATTCTCCAGAATATGTCGTTGTTCATCCACCAACTCCACTAATGCATTCTCTCCTTGGGGAGTGAACTTCTTTCCTCTTTTTCTTTTTAGCATTGGGCTTTCCATCATAACTTTTTAATTAACAGCTGATTTTGTTAACGTTTTGCTTGCATGATATTGCCAACATGCCAATTTTATAGTCWATTGTTGGATTTTAATTTTGGCCTTGCCATAATTTCGAAATAACAAATATATTTTTACATGCATGATGAGAAAACGAAATAACTTAAATCGCGCTTTTAAGTGAGGAACAATTTATCCTCCCAGTTAGTAAAGGGAACTTTATTGCTTACATAAGAAAACGGCCCTAAAACTTATAAATCTCCCGTCGTAGGGAGATTCTTGGTATAATATTTCTTGTAAAACTCATGAATAGGCAGTATATGGCTAGCGTTCCCGCTTGCTCTACCAGGCAGTTTAGACCCTTACTTCCGCTCGTTCGCGGAATACGCCCCTCGCGTCGGTTGGGCGGGAAGAGGGTAATCGTTGGGTATTATTATTTAATTATCTCATTATCATTCATTCTCATTTCAAGAGATGTCACAACATGGCGCTATTGGCTATAGCAACCGAATAAACTAACGGTATTGTTAGCAGAGCTGTCAGATATTTGGGTTTCAATTAACAAATTTGTGTGTTCATGCTATCGTTCATTCCTTTCTTACGCAATTTCGTAATCTTTAGCATTTCGTAATCTATACTATTATTATAAATAGGTAAGATTTGATTATTTGTTTGTTTGCGAGAGTACTTGACCGATTTGAACAATACTTTCACTGTTGGAAAGCTACACTATTTACATAAGCACTATATCTACCTGCTATATTAAATTTTCAAAAAAGTTGGTAATCCATACTAAAACTCCAATAATATAACCCAAGGCGTGAACAAATTACCAAAAAACTTTCTTAACCGCGTGCGCAGGGAAAGCTATTGATTAATAGAACATGTATATTTGCAGATCATATAATTATCTACAAATAATGTGCCGAGAGCACATGCCTAATTATTAAAGTTTTGTCACAATAAGTGACACCGCTATAAAAGCTCCTTTATTTATAATTTGAAATTAATCCTTATCAAAACAAATTATTGTGTTTCAATTCCATTACGTAACTTTTTGAATTATTCAATTTGGACATTCCATTCGATAGGTATCGCAAGTTAAAAACTGTAAGTTATTTTAAAAATGTCGCATGATCGCTGCTCAAGCTGCTTAGTTAGGCGGCACCGTAACGGGGCAAATCGGGAGAAAATTTATAGCATACTAACTTTGAAATCAATTGCTATTGCACGTAATTCTTTACGTGGGTATTTGATATCTCATTTATAGGATTACTGAATTCAATAATTTTTACAGAATATTAATTGATCTATTTGAGGGTATTAATTTGAGTAAGAAATATATACAAATATTCATTAAAATATTCAATGTAACTACTATTCCTACCTACCTTCAAATAATATATTCCTTGTAGAGATTTCCTGGAATAATATTAATAACCGATGTAGGTGTCACTGGGGTAGTGGATAGAAGTCAATATCAAAAATTAAGTATTTTTTCATTAGAGCAAACTTGTGTACATATATATATAAATGCCACTGCTATAAAAGTTCAGTCGCGTGTCAAGTAGTCACAGTAGTCATGTGCGAGATTAAATAAATTTTACTGGAATTACATATTGGCTATACTGAATTTTCGTTTTATTTGCCCATAAAATGAAACACTTTTTGGTTTTAGTTTATACAATTTATTTCACCTAATCGAATTTGCTTTTAGTTTTTCCACTTTTTTATATTACACAAACTTGGATTTATATGGTGATTGCGAGCAAACTCGTCCTGATTTGTCAACTGTTCGTTTTGAAGTGTCACACTGATTCTTTAGGCTTTTTACTTTTTAACGCTGTCGATGTTCATTGTCCTCGTTAAGTCAGTTCTTCGGTTCAGGGTTGATTTTTATAGCAGCAATGCATGGATAGAGTCATGTGTAGCAAGTGAGAAAAGTTCCTGATCACCATTCACTTGGGAGCGAGCAGAAACGATAATTTTAAATATGGCTCAAGCAGCTCACGACTTCCGGTCTTTGACCAAGTAGCCTGAAAACATCCGTTTGAAGGTGAATTAAAGTGAGAAGGGAAACATGCCCTCTACAAGGTTTTGCGCTTGGTTTGGGGCCCGCTGTCCAAGAAATGGAATGAACGGGCCAAGGAATAAGGCGAGTAGGTCTTTGTGGCATTTACTACAGTGGTGGGAGAGAAACTCCGTTGCCGAGTACTGTCATTCACTCCGGGGGTTGCACGTCTAGTAAAAACTCGCATCAAAGCGAAGTTCTTCAACATATCGCTGATTTTCACCCACACCCCGACGGAAGAGAACGAAGATTTGACCAAAGATGCCTTCAATGAGCGAAACTTTTTTGGTCACTTTAACGACAGAGGGGGCAAAAAAGGTATCTTTGACACAGTAGTGGGTAAATTCAGCCTCAACGACGAACATCCCCAAATTTGTTTAGTCTGATCGACATCGCCGGGTCCGCAATATGGTTATCTGTGGTACTATATTCTAGCACGGAAAAAACTCACCAAGCCACCTGGTTGTGTCCGGATCGAAAAGCCACCAACCAAGCCATCCGAGGCAGCTACCATATGCACCACCATATGCATATGCCTCTACGACGGCACGTCAATAAACACTAGGAAGGTTCAACGTCGAAAAGCTGCAGTCATAACAGACAGCCGAACGATTTTCGACTCGGCTTGCACTCCTGCTCTCTGAGAGCTCTCATCAACAACTCGCTATAAGGGAACTGTGGGACGGCATTTCAAGCTCTTACGTACAGCYGCAAACCATAGGGTTAAGGAAAATGCAAATGAATGCAGACAAACAAGAGAGATGTCGAAATACGGGAGTATGAAGAGCTTGACAAGCTGTCCGACAGGAGTATTGCCCGAAAGTTCTAAGAAAATTGCGGCGACTAACAGAAGGTTTCATGACCAGAGCATACTTTAGTAGAACCAACAAAGGTGATATAGTAACCTCTGCTCAGATCATACTAAAATTATGGAAGGAACACTTCACCAGACTGCTAAATGGCAGTGAAAGTACAACGCCAGGAGAAGGCGAACCCGATTTCCCAAGCGATGACGATGGAGCACACGTTCCATTGCCCGATCATGACAAAGTTCGAATAGCATTTACTCATCTGAATAATGTTAAAGCAGCGATCGCCGATGGATTGCCAGCTATTCAAACACGGCAGCGAAGAACTGATGAGGAACATGCATCAGCTTCTTTGTAACATATGGCCGGAAGCATGCCCAATGATTGGAATTTAAATGGGCTCTGCCGAAACCACAAAAAGGGACACCCTCCACAACATCGCATATAAGGTTCCATCGAGCGTATTGTGTGAAAGATTAATGCCCACCGTCAACAAACCGATTGGACCTCATCAGTGTGGTTTTAGACTTGGCAAATAAACAACTGACCAGGTAAATATCTGGCGCCAAATCTCGGAAAATACCCGTGAAATGAGGATTGATACGCACCATCTCTTTGTCGATTTCAGAGCTGCTTTTGACAGCACGCAAAAGAACTGCCTTCATGCCGCTACGTTGTCCAGCTTCGCTATGCCCTGATCTACATCCTTAGAGAGAATACTGAGTTGTATTGTAAGTGACCACCCTACCGTTATTAACAAGGCTCCTGAAACTGCAACGATGAATACGGTTGGAGAGTTGGAGATTCTTAATGGAACATACAGGTATTCGTATTGGCCTTGGTGGGTCACGAACGAGGTGTATTTTCTGGATCCCTCCTCGATAAGCACGTGAGATAATCCATTTCTTAGGTCAAGAGTCGTAAATATGAAGCATTCTGCAATCCTTCACTGACATCGTCAATAAGCGGCATGGGAAAATTGTCCTTCATCACCTTTTCTTTAAGTCGACGACAGATAATAGGTGATGTATACTCGGACGTGATGGGTGGGMGCCATTCAGTGATTTGTAGATCCACGGTGCAACTATCAGAATATGACATTCGACGTTGTCCTTGGTAAAAACGTCTGTTGAGAAGAGGGAAAATATCTTAACCACAACTTTTAATAAATCCACAAGGCGAACAGTTCTGAAAAAGAGAAAGTCTCTTCCTTGATGAAACAGTGAACTCAATAATTTGAGAATACAACAAGGAAAGATTTCAATGAGAGCTTTAGAACCAAAATCTGCCAGTAATATAACGATATTAAGGAAAGATGCAGAAAAGTAGTCCGGAAAGCTAAAAACGACTCATGGCGATCTTTCTGCACATCGATAGAAAGTTGCAAGGCTGAGCAAAATGCTATCCAAAGATCATACTACTACTGCCAACATTAGGGCGGAGGGAAGTGATTGGACCTCCTCGGCAAAATAGTCTCTGGAGGTACTAATTACAACGCACTTCTCCGGGAGTCAGCAAATACCTTTAACGAAGGTTCAATAAGAACCACCGTTAAACGCAGCTGATTACCGAAGCCAAATAGTAGACAAAAACAAAATCAAATATGCCAAAAATAGTTTTGCGCCATTTAAAGCGACAGGTACTGACGCGWTTACGCCCATAATGCTGCAAAAACTGGTGAACCAATGGTTCAAAGGCATGAAAATATATACAAAGCTAGCTTTCAACTATCTTATATCCCAAGAAGTTGGAAAAGAATAGAATAGGTGTTCTTCCAAAACCAGACAAAAGAGACACTATAATGCCAAGGCCTAGACCTATAAGCCTCACGTGCTTTATGCTGCAGTTACTATAAAGGCTAATGTACTTACTTAAGTACAATCATCGAAGTCCAAACATGCGTACATAGAGAGCCGATCAACCGAAACGAGGTGATAAGTGTAATTGGAAAATCACTACACTACAAACAAGACACCATGGTTGCATTTCAATACTTAGATGGCGCCTTCCATAATATAGAAGTAAATGCTATAAGTGATTCTCTGACTCATGGTGGCATAGATGACACTGTGTGCAGATGGATACTATTGATGCTTGAGAATAGAAAGATTATAGCATCAAACGGCGCTGCAACACAAACAAGTTA